AAGCATTAATCTAAGACATGATTATTTAACCTGAAAACAGATTTCAAAATATTTATATTCTATTTTACATAAGATCGAACTCTCCTCTTACTTTCAGCCTTTTAAAATTATGTAATTCCAATCTACAAATCATTCTATGAGTTTTTAAGTCTTTCTATCATTTGTATAGTATATAAAATTATCTCTTTGAGGCAAAATCTTAGACTTTTAAGTAGAAATTTTAAAATTCAACAAATATTATTTACTGAGTTCCTCTACCAGAACTTAGGTCAAGTTAGAAAAACGAATAAAAACACATAGTTCCTATCCCCAGTGAGTTTAAAAAATCCACAATATTTATTCTTCTCACAGGTTTTCACACACTTACTGTATCACAGCAGAAGGATAGAGGCTTTAGAAGTAAACAGCGAAATTGAGTCCCAGCTTTATTAAGGGGTAAAGGTAAGTAAGTTATTTATCCCCTCTATGCACTGACTTCTTCCTCTGTAAGATGAGGATAACATCATCTCCGTTGAAGAGTTTTAAGTACAGGGGCGCCTGGGTGGCTCAGTTGGTTAAGCATCCAACTTGATTTCAGCTCAGGTCATGATCTCAGGGTTGTGAGATGGAGTCCTCTGGCAGGCTCCGTGCTGCCTGGAGCCTGCTTAAAATTCTCTCTCTTCCTTTGCCCCTCCCTGCTTGCTCGCTCTCTCTCAAAAAAAAAAAAAAAAAAAGTTGTAAGTACAATTAAAGTGTCTAGTAGAATGTTTGACCTAGATAGGATCTATTATATCCATTTTTCAGTTCTAACCAATCAGGGCAAAAACTCAGACCATTTATACTAATAATAATCATCCTATCTTTCAGAAAATGGTATCAGAACCAGATTACATGCAGATGGGCATGTAAGAAGTATAAAAATTTAATGTGATGCTATACACTTCATATCATCTTATAAATATCCAACATGTTTCTAATTAAGAAAAAAGGCAAAATCCATTTTGAAGAAATAACATTATATAAGTCATATGCACAACATAATCAAGAGCCTCCCAAATCAGTATGCTGCTACTTCGCAAGCATACATGGCCTAGTAAGTGTTTAGGACTTCCACAGAACCAATTTATATCAATCAAAAAACTCTTTCTTAAGGCTCGAGTCCCTAAACTTTAACCCCAGAGGCTCAGCAGCTGCCGTAAAGGGAAGTTTGAAAAACTGAGACTCCCCTTTTCTGACAAAGAACAGCATCCATGAAAGCTTTTAGAGCAACAGTTGATTTGTGAATTACCTAAGAAAAGACCACATCATCTTTTGAACCAAGTATAACCCTCCTACTGAACCACCTGTAATAAAAATATTTCAATACTCTGAAGGAGTTAACATGCCTCCCAAAGTGCCAAATTAGAATTAGAATTTTGGGGTAAGAAGGGACCTTAAGTCCCTGTTACCCATCCTATTCCCACAGCAATTTAGCTAAGAGGAAACTGAAGCCAAGAGAGTGAGGGAGGGATTTCCCCAAGATACATGCCTATCCGGTGGCACAGACAGGAGTAGACAGAATTCAAGGTACCTGACTTCCAACCCAGTGTTCTGCTCACAAGAGCAAGCTTCTACTTCTATTATAATAAAGGAATGATTTATGCATACCTGGCTAAGACAACAGCTCTGAAAATATGTTTCAGTTATTACTTAGTGGGCTCAATAAATAAACTTTTAGCCAATATGAAGAAAATCATGAGGACATTATTTTAAAAACTAAACATTATCAGCTTTTCTGAATTTGAGGGACATTAAAAATTACTGTGACTGGGGCACCTGGGTGGCTCAGTCGTTAAGCGTCTGCCTTCGGCTCAGGTCATGATCCCAGGGTCCTGGGATCGAGCCCCGCATCGGGCTCCCTGCTCTGCCGGGAGCCTGCTTCTCCCTCTCCCACTCCCTCTGCTTGTGTTCCCTCTCTCTCTGTGTCTCTCTCTGTCAAATAAATAAATAAAATCTTAAAAAAAAAAAAATTACTGTGACTGTCTCTAAGTCAATTTTTCTTCTTTTTTTAAAGACATTTATTTGAGAGAGAGAGAGAGAGAAAGGGAGGGACTGAGGGATAGTGCACACACATGTGGGGGTAGGGGCAGAGGGAGAGGGAATCTCCATGGGGCTCAATCTCACAACCCATGAGATCATGACCTGAGCAGAAACCAAGAGTTGGTCACTTAACTGACAACGCCACCCAGGGACCTTAAGTCACTTTTTCTTAAAAAAAGATTATAATAATATAAAGCAAACAAGCACATCAACATACTTAGAGTTGAGAGACTTGATGATTTACCTTCCACCAGATGCAGGAATCCTTTCTAGGACATTCTTTTTCTAGAACTTTTTAAAATTTTGTGTTCAGCTTTTCAAATATTTAAAGCTAGTGATCAGTCTAGCCATTCCTTTTTCTCTTTCTTGATAAATATATGTAGGATATTAAAAAGTACTTGGACATAGCTCATACAAATCATATTCAGCTCTGTTCAGTTCAACAAAGGTTTATCAAGCCCTAGGTATTGTGCTAGGTTCTGGGAGTACAAAAAGAAATGAGACCTAATCCTTGCCCTGGAAGAGCTTACAAGAGAGTAGGGGAGAAAAGCATATACAGAAATAGCTTCAATCTAATAAAAAGTGCTAAAATAGATCATGTACAATAAGAGATACAAGATTAGAGAACAAGGAAGGGATCAGAGTGAAGGATACCAAGAATACAACAGTGGGCATTTTGACAAGGTCACACATTTGGATCCAAATTCCTGGATTGAAAATACTATATATTTTCATATATATATATATATATATATATATGGAAATATACATATTCATATATATATACTATATATTCGGCTCAGGTCATGATCTCCGATTCTGGGATCAGCCCCAAGTCGGGATCCCTGCTCAGTGGAGAGTCTGCTTCTCCCTCTGCTCCTCTCATTTGTTCATGCGCGCACTAGCGCTCTCTCTCAAATGAATAAAATCTTAAAAAAAAAAAAATTCTACATAAAATGCCAAACAATAGTTCAACCTAACCTAAACAAAATGTGATGGTTCTTAGTAATAACATAGAGTAATGAGGGACTGAAAATATTAAAATATACACTCGTATTAGGGGCGCCTGGGTGGCTCATGGGTTAAGCGTCTGCCTTCGGCTCAGATCATGGTCCCAGGGTCCTGGGATCGAGTTCCCCCATCAGGCCCCCTGCTTCTCCCTCCCTCTGCTGTTCCCCCTACTCTGTTGCTCCCCCTGCTTGTGCTCTCTCTCCCTCTCTCTCAAATAAATAAATACAATCTTCAAAAACATATATATACACTCGTATTAGACATTACAAGTGCATACTTAAGCAATTATATTTGCTAAAATAAGAAAAATTATTCTAAAGCAGATCAATGGCATTATACAAATTCATAAAGGAAGAGACTGCTTACTGGCTTTTAGTGTGAAGATGAAGTAATGTATGTTAGAAGGAGATTATTGGTATGACACCCACGAAAGCATTCTTCTCTTTTTTCCATGAACATTCAAAGAATTAAACCTGAATGTTCAGGATTCCCAAAACAATAGCAAGTATAATTTATTGTTGGAATGTTAATTTTTTCCTTGACCAAGAAACTCATTAAAGATGGAATTTGGTTGAATACTACTTAAAAGTAAAATAGCTCAGATCTCTTGAGTATCAGAGTTGAACTTTATTAAAGCTGTCATCTTTAAATTATTTTGAACTATTACACATAAGAAATAAGATTAAAATTTACTCTGACCATACAACCTTGTGTAAGGTCCAAAATGCATGTCAACCTTCCCTGTGTGTTTTCCTTTAACCTAATAGCATTTATTTAGTCCTCCAGTAAATGGTAAAAGAAAATTAAGACCTTGTTCAGCACTATATAACTTTTTTTTTTAAGATTTTATTTATTTATTTGACAGAGAGAGACAAAGCGAGAGAGGGAACACAAGCAGGGGGAGTGGGAGAGGGAGAAGCAGGCCTCCCCCCGAGCAGGGAGCCCGATGCGGGGCTCGATGCGGGGCTCGATCCCAGGACCCTGGGATCATGACCTGAGCTGAAGGCAGATGCTTAACGACTGAGCCACCCAGGCGCCCCAGCACTATATAACTTCTTTACAACATATACAAACATGACTCCCATATTTTGGATTTAAATGTTTAATACATTTAGTTAGTAACTATCTATAATTAACAGTAATTTTTGTTTCTACATGGTTCTGGATATTGGGATCTTTTTTAATGAAAACAAGATACAAGATAAATGTGAGAACGGTTCTTATTTGCTTCAGGTTTGTTTATTTATTTACTTACTTACGTATTTATTTTTTTATTTTTTAGAGAGGGTAGGGGTGCAGAGAGAGGGGGAGAATCTTAAGCAGACTCCACACCCAGCACATAGACCAATGCAGGGCTCAATCTCATGACCCTGAGATCATGACCTGAGCCAAAATCAAGAGTTGGATGCTTAACCAACTGAGCCACCCAGGCGCCCCAGGTTCGTTTATTTTTTAAACTACCTTGTCGTTTTAAATTTCTTGGTTATAAGAGGACACTGCTTATCTACACCAGATTGTTCACAGCCCAGGAAACGTCACTCCCTCTGAAGCAGTATATACCAATGCCATAATGAGGACAAAAGTAGAGGGGAAATACTTCAGAATCACCTGGAGAATCTTTCCGAACTGTACCTTACCACTATCACAAGTACAGAAAGCCAATGCTTTAGAGGTGTATTGCAGACCTAATAACAAGACTGAAATCAAGGATTTACCTGAAACTAAATTTAGAAGCTACTGTCTTACAAGGACTGCTAATAAAAAGGATCTTAAAAAAAAGAGAGTAATGAGAACAATGCTGAAGGTTTCTGAAGATATCTATGTGTGCAGAGGTTCAGGTTCCCAGCTAGACCTGTAGTAAGGCAATAAACAAAAGGAAGAAATCACTGCCATCACATTTATGCATAAGCAGTGCACTTTCAGTTTCTTACCTCCAATATTCTGAATTAGGATGGTGCCTGCTACTGCCACCTATAAAAGAACAAATGTATTCACAAGATGAAAGAAGAAATAAAAGGATCAGTATTTTACTAAAATCCAATAACCCATTACTAAAAAACAGATGCAGAAGTGAAGAGAAATCGAAAAGAATACGTTGTCAGCCATTTATAATACATAAAACGAATTATCATCACATAAAAAGCCCTTTTTTAACAGTTCCATAGTTACCATAAAGAATGCTTTTGAAAATTTTCTTGGCAGTCATTTTAAACAGTTAAAAGTATTAAAAACTAGTAATTGGTGATTATCAAAGTAGCAAAAAATTGAAATTAAATCTATCTGGTCTCATTCTCCCTTTTTCACTGCTTTAGGAGGTAAAATGAGACATTGCTTTAGTAGGTCGACTGCTACAGCTTGAGGTGTGCTGTGAGGATGCTATTTTGCATAGAAGGAAATTATATAGTCTCCTGAGTGTGTTAGCGTGGCAAAAAACAAGCTTTTGAACATCCTGTCCCAGGAATTAGTAAAGTCGAGAGCAGAAAACTCTAGAGCCCACATATTCTCAGATCTGAAATTTTAAGCAAACTATTTCAAAATCAAGAATATGGAGTGGGTTTAGTGTAAGAAAGAAGAAGGTCATGAAGACTGTAGTCTATTGGAGAACTCCTCCCCTTTCAAAATGGGGCACCTGCCGCTCAGCTCCGGCCAGCTGCTGGCATGTGAGAATGTGGATCCAATGGAGCTCTAGCTTCTACATTTCGTTAATTTTTCAAGGAAAGTCAGAACTGAATTCTTTCAAAATTTCATAACTCTTAGTTGGCAATCAGTTAAAAATAAGAAAATGTAGGCCAAACCAAATATGCCTAAGGACTAAGTTCAGCTTGTAGGTTTGCTGGTTTGTGATTCGGATGAGCTTCCTGGGAAACTCAAGACACCTTATCCATTCTTGGTAATCAGATGTACTCAAAGGAAATGACTAGATATTCTACTTCCACTTGGGCCTTTCAATCACATAAGTCTTGGTGGATCTGCACCCCCAATGGATATTTGGAGTGGCCTAGCTATCTAGGATCATTCAGTTCATGGACTGGGAACAGATCACCTCTCAGACTCCCCTCTACTAGGAATTCCATCAGTGGTACATCATTTGCCTATCCTGGAAACACTAGAGGCCTTGGGGTCTGCAGAGTAGGGCTAATGATGGAGTAGTTGGCACTCTAACTTTTCCAGAAGAAACTTTGCATGTCAACTCTTTTAAAAATTAGTTACAAAATGTCATAGTTATTTGTGAAGACTATTTTGAACTTTTGCACACTTTTATATACAATTGATAGCTACTGCTATCATACATGAAATTTTGATTCCTACTAATATATTGCAAAAAACAGTAAGATCAACTTATTCATGATTATCTTTCCATCTTAAGTGCTGAATTTAAGCACTTAAGATCTACAAAGTCAGTATGTCTATCTATCTATCTATGCCTTCAGTGCCTACTATAATGAATAGCACATGGTATTTACTCAATAAATATTTGCTTGGTGAGCAGATAAATTATAGACAATTTTAAAATCTTTCTTAAAAAGTTCAACAAATTTAAAAATATTTCTTTAATTCTCAGAACACTGTTATCTTATTATGTCCTATCCATATCTGCATCTTATCTGGAAAGAAGGAAATAGGAAAGTTTCTTTTTTTTTAATATTTTACTTATTTATTTGACAGAGAGAGAGAGAGAACAAGCAGAGGGAGCAGCAGAGGGAGAGGGAGAAGCAGGCTCCCCGCTGAGCAGGGAGCCCGATGCGGGACTCGATCCCAGAACCCTGGGGTCATGACCTGAGCCGAAGGCAGACCCCTAACCGACTGAGCCACCCAGGTGCCCTGGAAATAGGAAAGTTTCAACCCAATTGTGGAAGTGGAGAGGAAGTATAAAAAAGGCAAACAAACAGCAACTCCTCATTTAGAGTATCCTCTGTCTGTGCACCTGCCTAAGAACTGAGTGCCTACATTAATGATAATGCAACTATTCTAGAGTTTTAGAAAGGGAAAGGGGACTCTCAATTCTTTTAGATTCTGCTGCTATTCAAGGAATGCAGGAAATACTAGTGTGAAGTAACAGTGATGATGCTTAGAGTCCTATTTATAGATCATATGGAATTAATTTGAGAGTTTTCTTATACGTATAAATAACATTTTCTTCTTCCTTGGTTAAACTGGATACAGGAAACTGATTATGATTATATGAAACATCCCTGTCTGCAGGAAAGAGAAACTGTTACCAGGATGATTAACAAAACCCTTTACCTGCAAGTAACATATTCTCCATTTTGTTCAAGTTTCAAGTTATTAAGACAAGGTTAAAACCATGAGGCTACACAGCATGATTTAAATATTCTTCTTATACTTTAAAAAAAAGTTAATTTGAAGTAAACACAGGTGTTCCCCTATCATGTAGCTATATCTTTTTCCTCCCAGACTCACTTCTTAGAAGTTGGTTTGGCCATCTTTAAGATTAAAAACAAACACAAAACACAAACAACAGTTTTACAAATGAAAAGAAAAAGTCCTATTTGAAACCAACATGAAAATGGGTTTTAAAAGTATGATACATCTTCAGAAATAAAGTACTACAGTACTCACAAAAATATTTAACTCCTGATTAACTGTGGAGGAAGACACTGTTTTCTCTACCTCTCAATTTAGTTTAATATGCCTATCACAAACGAATGCCCAATAAATATTGCTGTCATTTCTATTATTCTGAGGAGGAAAAGCAGTTGATTTAGAGTCTGAAGTTCTACAATGTAATACTGGCTTTAAGGAACTGTGGACATATAGGCCCCTTCATTTCTCTGGGCCTTAATTTCCTCACCTATAAATGAGGGAATAGCTCGATCATCTTTTAGCACTGTTCAGCTCTTAAGTAATATAATCTTCTAATTACCAGTTTTGTAAATAGTCATGCTATAATCTTAATTCTATGCTTCTTTCTTTTCCTATCTTTATGAGGATTTACTCAGTTAATATAATCAATTTTTTAAAAAAGATTTTATTTATTTATTTGACAGAGAGAGACACAGCGAGAGAGGGAACACAAGCAGGTGGAGTGGGACAGGGAGAAGCAGGCTTCCCGCGGAGCAGGGAGCCCGATGCGGGGCTCTATCCCAGGACCCTTGAATCAGACCTGAGCTAAAGGCAGACACTTAACGAATGAGCCACCCACGCACCCCTATAATCAAAATTAATTAAAAAAAAAACTTAAAACAGGCCATTGTTACAGCTTTAAAATTGTTCAAGTCACTGCTCTCCTTCATTAGGGTGAAAAATACTAATATATTTAAGTGTCGAATTAAATTTATTGATGCATTTTCCAGAAGGGCATATAGAGAGATTTCTTCTCTTTGTCTTCCTGTTCCCATCATTCTGTCTTTCTTCACTTTAGTTTCCTTTTAATCCCCTAATTTCTTTCTCTTAGATATACCTGTCTCTTTTAACTAGAAATGGAAGGAAAAAAAAATGTCTCTGGATTTTGGAGACAGTAAGGAGAAAAAAAAAAATTTTACCTTTCCGGGTAACCCAAATGCAAAGAGTCCAAGATCTTCATAAGATGTCACAGCTGTTAAGAGAGATTATAATTTTTACTTTTACACAAAACTATTTGTGTGCCAAGTCCTAAAGGTAAGAAAGCTATTCTACTACTATTGTATAGCTATTGGATGGTCACATTAAATTTAGAGCAGAAGTAACCACTGCTGGGGGAAACTTTTGGAGACTTACGGTCTGTAAGGATAGAGTCGTACAATAAGTAGAGCTTAGCAAATTGCAAGGTTATCTACTTACCACCCAGCCTGCAGTACAGTAGTTCAAATGCACTGATCACTCAAGAACAACCCCACTTCTCCCTCAACAGTACTTGCATACTACACTATCTAAAAGCAAGCTTTCACTGGCAATAGTCTCTGAAAACTGCATATATAAAGGTAGATAAAGTATGAAAGCTGTATCATACTTTCAGAGACATTCATTTTTCCTTACCTCATAATTAGTAGGGCATACACTTTCTTTTTTCATCATGAGTATGGAATTACATTTTTATTCCAGATATTTAAGAAATGCAGGCACAGAAAAGATGAAAATTAAATGGCTCATAAAAGAACCCAATTTGTCCTTAGCCTGTATAGCTTCATGTTCTAACTAATGACACCACCAGTAAAAATGAGAAGTAAAAACATTTATGTAATCCTATAGTCTGAAAAGTGCTTAACCTTACAGTACTTACACTAAAAAGCAGCAGACTAGCAGATGCTAAGGCTTGGTACAGCAACACACTTTTCCTATTGAGTCCAAGATATGGTTCATCATTTTTTAAAGCAAGTTTTAATATATTCTCTCAAGAAATACATGGGTTTTCTTTAAATTATCACTAACTTAACAAAAATCTCCTCTGTACTTTTATATACAAAGACTACCAGGTTTGTAAAGTTAAGCATTTAAAAACCGTTTATGGCCTTTACATGTTACACCTACAAAGTTGGAAAGAAAACTGAAATGTTGAAAATATAAAATTACTAAAATACTAATTAAGAACAAAAATTTTAGCATTTTTAATTGCAAAATTTAAATTATTAACTTTAATCTATTATCAGAGTTGATGGATGATGTTCTACAATGTAGTAGAACAGGTATTTTTTTTAAGTGTATTTATATACTGCTAAACACAGTGAACAAAGACAATTTAGTTTTGATTTTGGGATATATAATTTGATTATAAGTAGGAACCTTTATACTTTAACAGTGAAAGACTTCTACAATAATCTTACAGGGGTAGATTTTGGATATATTTTAGAACATAAAAATTAAAAAACAGAGTTACAAAATAAAGAACTGGAATTTTTTCCTCCTTTGTGAAATGCCAAAACTCTTTTTTCCAAATATACACATTCTAAAGTGAATGTCATCACAAAAATTAATAATTATTTTAATCAATAAATCTTTACTAGTTTAATTTTCTAAACATAATTGATAATATTATATAGGGGCACAATTCCTTAAATTTGACATTCCAAACCCTTCGTATATATATTAAACCAAAAAAATTGTCTAAATGTTAGCTTCTATATAATTTGACACTGAGAAGGTAAGTTTGCTGAATATTATGTGTATGTGAACCAAGTTGCCAGAATGTCTCTGATCTGACACTAAAGCATGAGATTAAAGAACATCATTGTTCAATTTTAGCACCCCTCTTTAATATTAGAGTTAAAATTATTATCTGTTTTTTTTTTAAGATTTTATTTATTTGCCAGAGAGAAAGAGAGAGCACAAGCAAGGGGAGTGGCAGGCAGAGGGAGAGGGAGAAGCAGACTCTCCACTGAGCGGGGAGCCCGATGTGGGACTCAATCCCAGGACCCTGGGATCATGACCTGAACCGAAGGCAGATGCTTAGCCGACTGAGTCACCCAGGCGCCCCTATCTGTTCTTTCTTAAAAAAAACTTTCCTTCCAAGAACTTAAAGCAAGGAGGCTTTTCAGTGTCACAAATGGGAATATACTGAATAACTTGCTTTTAAAATGACTTATGTAGAGGTTCTCCGTCAATAAGCAAGTTATTAAGATGATACTAATCCAAAAATTTAACTAAGGTTTGCTTTATTTTTGAACAGCAGAAAACAAGTATAGATTTATATTTAGTAAACATGAAAAGCTAATAAATTTCCCATAAGCAAAAGTCATAATACTGAAGGATTCCAAAAAGAATTGGTATTTCAATTACCTAAATAAATTAAACATTTATTAATTTTTATATTACAACACAACCTTTATTATCACAGAAAATATAATCAAACTAATAGCTTAATAAAGATAAATGTACTTGCAACTTCTGACAGTAGTGGCGTACATTTTAGCAATTTCAAACTTGCACTCTATCTCCCAAATCAGCACGTCTGGCTCGCCATTCAGTTTTGTTGCTGTCATCATACTTCTTTTATGTTGCAACAATTAGAAGCATTTTCCCATGTCTAAGACATCATGAGTATGAATAATGGCTTCTGGCTTAACATTGAGGCTTTACTAAAATATGTACACAGTCAGCCAAATGCTTTATCTCTACATATTCTAATTTTTAATGGTTTTCTGGACCATCTCAACATATAAACCCAAACAACCCTAGTGAAATATTTTTAAAGTTCTGTTCTATCATTTGGGCAGTTAAGATGCTAGTAATAGTGTAAACTGGTATGATGTTTGGAATACAGTTTGAACAATGAGTCTTTAAAATATTTTTAACATTTGGGGGCGCTTGGGTGGCTCCGTCGATTAGGCGGCCGACTCTTGATTTTGGCTCAGGTCATGATCTCAGGGTTGTGAGATCAAGCCCCTTGCCAGGCTCCAAGCTGCCGCTCAGCATGGAGTCTGCTTGTCCTTCTCCCTGCCCCTCCCCCAGCTCACTCATTCCCTCTCTCTCTCTCAAATAAATAAATTTAAAAATATATATTTATAACATTTTACCCCTAGAAGCTTGCATCTTAGGAAATAAGACTAAAATCAGAAAACATTATATGCAAAGATTATCATACATAATTTACACTGAAAAAAAAAAAAAAAAAAAACCCACCACAAACCACCTAAATGTTCAATAATGGTAAAGTGGTTAAGTATATTATAGTAGGTATACCTGATACATTAATAGGTAGCCATTAAAAACTATGTTAATGATAACATGAAAAATGTCAATATTGAAAGAAAAAATTGATTTGAATATGATCCATAAATTAAAAACGTAAAAAGAGTGGGATGAACTATAAACTGGTAATAATGATCATGTAGTCTTCTTTGTCTTCCTTTTTTGGGGGGCATTCAAATATTCTACAATGACCATAATGGGCTGGTGGAACTTTAAAAACCATACTCTTTGTATAGTTCTATTTCCTCCACCAAATATCGGATGGGGTTGATTTAAGCTGCAACTTTTAATCTCTTGTTTAGAAAAGTATCATTTGGTCTCCTAATAAGGGATATTTTTCTGCTCTTTCATATGATCAATGTTTTAATATCTTATTTATAAAGTGAAAATGTTTTGAGAGATCTCAAAATAAGATGTGGTAATGACCAGTCACATTAGAAGCATATTCCTACAGAATAGGAATAACATTAGTTATGAAAATTATAAAATTAATTCAGTCTTTTACAGGAAACCATACAGGCAGTACTTGGCACAATTCTCCTTAAATAAATAACTGAAAGCAATCGTTAGCAATCTATTTTAGGAAATGATTTTTTGATATTAAAGAAATCAATGCTATGTTTTCAGGAGGCAGAAAGGCTGTAAATCTTAACAAGTAAATTGGGAGAAAATTTCTTCTTTAATGTACCATCAAGGCACACGATAGTGCTATTTTGGCGAGACCAAGAGTTTGGCTCTACACGAATCATTTGGAAAGCTGCTTCCCATAAAGTTGTGGAATACTTCCAGCTAGTTACTCCAGTGTTCCGTCTGCTTTGTATTTTTTCCTCAATGAAACAGGACAATTAATAAACTCTGGTTACAGTACAAAGCCCAAGTTTCAGCAGCAGAAATATTATCTTTGGATCTGAACTGAGGGACATAAGTTATTCAAAAACAGTTCAATTCTCAGAAAGTTGGCCATTTGGAATGCACCCTTATTATTTTGAAATTCTTCTCTTTCTTGTGCTTTCCATCATTTTCCTCTCACCTTTTTTCTCCCTAATAGTGTCATGCAGGTCATTCATTTATTGAGTGTCTACTATGTAACTGTATCACTACTTCTGACCTTTCTCAATATGTAATTAAATGTCAGTTTACCCACTAAATGCAGCATGATTCTAGAGAATTCAATGAAGGAAAAGAAAATAGAATACTAGAATACTAGAAACATTCTCCTTTCAAGTGGCACAGAGGTTGTGATATTGCATGTGTAGAGAAAGTTCTAGGATCCCAATATACTGCTTGGCTCTGCTGTGAACATTTACATAATCTTACCCTATAAATGCTATTCATTAGTTTTCAACTTTTAGACTCAACTTACAGATAAAATGTGAATGACTTACATATGATTACAAAACAGAAAGTAAATATTGCCAATCTTGACAATATAAAGGTGCAGCAGGGAAATATGGGAAGTATGGGAAATAGGGAGAGGACAGGTGAGAGAAAGGATAGGGGCACTAATATATCACATAGTAGAGTCAAGGGATGCTCTCTGAAGTCCATGGAACAAAAATAAAAATTTAAGCCTATTAGAGTTACAAAATAATCAGCCCACACAGGTGGGTTATGATACCTATAGGAATTTCATTTCAGATAGTAAATGGAGCCCTAAGAATTTTTTTAAGAAGGGTGTTGCAATGGAGGCACCTGGATGATTCAGTCAGTTAAGCATCTGCCTTCCACTCAGGTCATGATCCCAGAGTCCTGGGATGGAGCCCCACATCAGCTCCCCACTCAGCAGGGAGTCTGCTTCCCCCTCTGCCTCTGCCCCTCCCTCAGGTCATGCTCGTTCTCTCTCTCTCTCAAATATTAAATAAATAAATAAATAAGAAGGGTGCTGCAATGGACAGTGTTGAGAACCACTGCTCTAAAGGGCTTATGTAAAAA